GAATTTGTTTCAACGTTTGGTGCGTGTCCTGCCGCCTTTATCGGCATATGCTGCAAAACTCAATTTGGAGGAGGTATCTCTGAATAATGTTACCCTGCAAAATAGACTTGAGTGAGTGAATATGGTTTCACGCCGCTTTTAGAAATATTCAACCAAATCTCAGGGTGGGGACACCAGAAATGGGCTTCACACATTGTACCCATGTCGGGAATCGAACCCGGGTCTTCGGCGTGACGAGCGAACGCTTTAACCACTAGGCTACCCAACCGCCCCTCAAAATAGACTTGATAAGACAAACAAGGGTTCGGCATTATGAACAATATCCACTCCGTCCCACAGATTTATTAAAGCACGTCTTGTTACAAGCAAAGGTTGCTGTGGACCTATGGTGACACTGAATCCCGAAGCAGACACGTATGCTTACGTAGATATTTATGTCAGTCATAGCAGATTGATCCTTTTGTGCGTCCTGGCGTTGCAAAACCAGACAACAGGTTAGACGGAACGACATTGCACCTCTAAAGGTAAGTAATGTATACTACAAATCCCTGGCAACAGTTTTATTAATGTGTGACACACATTCTTGAAGTTTGCAACAAAGAAGCTGGAATATTACCACAAAATAACGCCTCGGCTCACCTGGTTAGGTAGGTAACAGGTAAGGATGACATCACACCACCGACTCTTGACATATACATTAATATTTTCAACATATTTTACTGATAATTAAAAACTAAGACGAAAGTGTGAATGCCTTGCATTTAAAATATGATGTCTTCACAAGAAACATACGTGGTAAATAAAGCTAGCTTCCTGAGTCTTTCAAATATATAACGTCAAAGCCATAGAATAATCAGTACTTACCTATTTCATTTGGCGTAAAAGGCAAACTTAGCATTGGAAATTATGTGAGAGAAGGCTTCCAATAATCAATAGCGATAGCTGAAATGTCATCAATATTATGACGAAGGCTTCGTGTAGAAGACAATTTGTTTTTGGTCATTACGAATGCATGCAATATTGTCCTTTTTGACAAGCGCTCATAGCACCATGCTTTGGTTTGATTGATTGAGTGGTATCGTACCCCTGCAGTGTACAAGTTTCTCAGTATTGTTAACACTTGGAGAGACTGTTTCACATATAATAATACTATCTTGAAAGATCCATATAACCAGACGACATTAGCTGGTGAAGGCACTAAAATATCGGAAGTCCTCTGGTCCTAATGGAGTAACTAATGCACATATAAGGCATGCTGGAGATAGACATCTACAGCATCTTGGGATTCTCTTTACCCATATAATAAAACACAAGTATTCTCTGTTACCTTTCAGAACAGGTTTCAATATTGCGCTTTATAAACAAAATGGAAAAGACAAATGTGACCCCAAAACCAACGCGCTATCACAATTACATCAGCTATCGGAAAACTGCAAGAGAAAGTAATTATTGAGAGAATACAGAGATGCATCAACCGTACATATTCCTCCATGACTTACAGCTTGACTTTCGGAAGAGTAGTGGGGCTTAGTTTGCAGAACAAACTCTGCAAGAATTTACTGCTTATTTCAAACAATGCAAATCAGTACCTTACTGCACTTTTGCACGAAAATGCGTTTGATAAGATTTGGCATAATAGACTGCTTAAAAAAATATTCACATTGGAATAAATGGAAAGTGTTGGCGATAAATCAAACATTCTTATACCCCATTTAGATCTTATATTTCGTTTTAAGGTCAACAATCAGATTATTTTGCTATACATAGAGGTGTTGAACAAGGAAGAGTTCTATCAGGATGGCTTTTTCTGATCTACATTGATGAGCTTATAAAAGAACTGAAACTTACAGGCTGTGGCAAACATGACCATTTCTACCGTGCTACTGGCATGTGATACTACTCTACTTAGTACTACTCTTAAAGGAACCCCATAGACAAGGTAGACGTGTACACTCTGAAATTGGGGCCTACAAACAACCCGTCCACAAGCTGTGTTATTGTTTTCAACACAAACGGTAAAACGACTTTGTCATATAACCTCATCATAGATTGAGAAACAAAGTGGAGCAGACGAGATATGCAGGAATTATCTGCTCCCATAACACTGTGTCCAAGCGACGGATTGAATCTGCATGTCATTAAGCCTTGGAAACACTAAACTCTCTATTTACATCCGGTTAAAATGTCCATCGGGTTAATCGTATCATAAGTGCAAAGATTTGTCGAACTGTTATCTTACCAAATGCTCCCTACTCATGTGAGTTGTTCACCAGCATATCTGATGCTTCATACAAAAAACTTGAAAACATCCAGAGAAAGTTTTCCCGACGTGCACAAGGCTTCCTCCCCTCTCGCCCAGATCAGCACGCGAGCACACAATAACAGCAGCTGAACTGTGGTCAATGCACACATATATATGAAATTCACACCTAAGCCTTCCGTTAGCCTACCAGTTCCAGCTTCAAGAACAGACAATACCTACAGCGACACAGCATTACAGATTGACAGACATGTTCGATGGAACTCACTTTCATATGAGATCAGGAACAGGGAAAAGCTGACACTACAAGTCATCTGTTTCTGATGAGACTCGAAATGTCGCCCACACCCAGACTTTCCCAGATCCAACAGACAAAGGTTACCACCAAAGCCCAGGACCACTACATCTGAGTTTGTCTCTTACAAAATCCCACATAACAGTTTGCGTAGGACCTTGCGTCACTCGATGAGAGACCGTCCACGTGAAGCATGTCGACGAACCAAACATTCGGGGTATCATTCGGATGTACCAACATCGTCAACTTCGACTACGTTCTGCAATAGAGAACTGTGTGTTGGTTCAGGAACCGTTCATGTTTTCTGTTTCATAGTACATATGAAGATGTCGGGTGTACTGACGATGTTGTGACGATTTCCGCCGAACTGCATACAGAAAGTTGCCAAATTCGGCGGATATGGTGTATGACGCCATATCGCACAATGGTACGACCACATTTTTTTCTGTACAACTGTACCGAGATTAAATTCTGAACGTAAACGCATGAAACCCAACGGCATTCTTAACATTTAGCACCTGGCCCTCCAGATTTGAAAGCAATCGAAAATTTCTGGGATCAGTTAGATAGTCTGAGATGACACTAAAATCTATCGAACAAAATATGCCGTCATCATAAGAAGAAACACAACTCAATCAGTCCAGCAATTTCCGAAACACAAACGAGATATTGTATGGTCTAAACAAGGTCAAACAGTTTAAAATTGCAAGAAACATAATTAATGTTCCTTAACAAACCACAAATCTCATTTCAATTTGATCATAAATGACTGAAAATGGCCAAATTAAAATTAGTTTTGGAAATGACTGCCACAGCGGCCATTATTGAAAATCTAAAACAAATATGGCTATCAACATTGGTGGGAACAAGTATCTGGAAGTTTAGGTTCATTGGGCCAGTGGTTTCTGAGAAGATGATGTCTACAGTGTGGCAAATTTGTGAGAATTTAGTAGTGAGGTTGAAAATGAAAAGGTCAAGTCAAAGTCAATATTTTCAATATAGTAAACTAAAAACCTGGAACATAGTAACTAAGAGTCCGACAATTAACTACACATATGACTTTCATGTCGACAAATTGGATTCGATCCTCTTGATTTCCTTAAGTGTCATCATCATTTATTGGAACAACTACAAATATGAACATATTCAGTGTTATTATTACAGTAGGTTCTGACAAGATGCTCACCATGGACACCGGAGAGTCCGACAATTAACTACACATATGACTTTCATGTCGACAAATTGGATTCGATCCTCTTGATTTCTTTAAGTGTCATCATTTATTGGAACAACTACAAATATGAATATATTCAGTTTCATTAGTACAATAGTTTCTGACAAGATGCTTACCCTGGACACCGGGCAAACAGGCAACAACATAAGCTCAGCCAGGACAGCCTAATTTGCATTTGCGTTTCGTTTCGTTGAGTAGTCTTTAAGTGCGTGTGTGTTCTGGTTGCACATATATGATGGCTTCCTGCAAATAATCCGGCCTTTCTCAGACAACCCACTGACGATATGAACAACGATCCACGCCAGGTATGTCTCCACAAGTCACTCCATTAAGTAACCTCCCACAAACCTTGGTTGCTGGTGACCAATTCTATCCCAGTATCCAAAACGGGCACATGTGTTCACATGTGTTAAGGTTCTGGTATAAAATTCTTCCCCAGCAACATATAGGGCAAGGCAGTTTTTTTTGGTATTATCATGAAAATTCAAGATACTTAGTTGAAAATAATATGTATGTTTAGCTAAAAAGTTAAGATAATAACTTAAAAATTCAAGAACATAAAGCAAATATCCAAGTTGCTATCTTGACAATTCAAGTTGTTATTCTTTCTTGACAAAATAAGTTATTAAGTTGAAAATCAAGCAACTATCTTGGAAAATCAAGCTACTCTGTTGAAAATTCAAGATACTATGTTGAAAATTACAGATGAATTGAAGTCAGCAAATGGACTTCCCAAGGCTTCACTTTCTGCTTTGAGTTTACACGGTTGCCAGATAGGGCCTTGGATTTTCAAGACAACATCTTGAGTTATAAAGATGATCACATGAATCTTCCAGAGCATATATTGAATTTTCAAGATACACCGATACTTTTGGTGATGCTAATTGGCTTTCGAAGGCTCGGGGAGTCAGTCATCGAATATAATAAAGTTAGAAATTTGTTAGGGACCGCGTTAAACATGTCTTTGTTGCCTGATCCAAGGAGGATTATTTGAACTCACTAACACACGCAAACACACAAACACACACACAAACATATATATATATATATATATATATATATATATATATATATATATATACCGTTGTTTTAAACAAATAACAAACAACATTATGCTTGTCGTCGTGATGCAGCTTAACTATTGCAGCCTGTGGTATTATACAGCAAATTTTTTAAATATAATGCTATGTGTACGGAAACTAATAACTCACCAGCGCTGTACACGGACAGTACCACGAGGAGCGGAAGAAACCTGGCAGTCATTTCCTGGAGCACATTTTATGTCATGTAGTCACAATAAAAATGAAACAGTACGCTTTGTCTTTACTTAAATATTAAAAATAATATTTGTTTCCATGAAATGTCAGAATTCTGTAATGTATGGTCCCCAGTCCTATCAAATTTATATTTGACCATAAATTAGCTAATGACAAAGGAAAATATAAATAATTTTACTTTCTAAAACCTGACCGCTATGAAAGTTCAAAGTAATGGTTAGCTGTTGCAATCCAGTTCAGGCAGCAAAGCCTCCTATATCACAAGGGATCCTTATTAAGAATATTGTTCAACGTTGGAAACGTTTGTTGCGTCTTACCTTTTCTCTTCTGGAAGTCGCCTCACGTGTTAAGGTGATAACTGATGACAGGGTTCTGTTTGGTCTTATATGTATTCTTAACGCAACATGTGCACGTTATTGAATTGTGTGAGTGTAAGAGAAGCACCAATAAAGTGTTATGTTCTGAAAGGTATGGTTATGAATATGTGTTATCGTTCATTCACTGGCGGCATTGTGAGCTTGTAAGGATCAATTTGTTAAGCATCTGTTTGACAACTAATGCTTTTTCAAGGGATTAAGTACCACCACCAACGTCACAAAGCTGTGTTCGTTGTCGAAAAAGTTTCAATTGTCGTATGAATATGAAAAGAAATGTATAAAAAGGAAATCCGCTAATCTAAAATTATTTCAAAATCTATCCCGATGCACATTGCATAGTTGCGTTCATATTCACATTTAATACGTCTAAAGGGATTCTGGAATACATACACAAACGCGAAATGGTAAAAGCCAGTGATATGCTGCTACATCATTGTTGTAAGTCAATGCCATTAAATTATTTTCTATACTATAGCGCTAGCACAAGGTAGTTGTTTTAAAGGAATAGCATAAATGAAACAGGTCCAATCTGGGCCATGTTCTCTGAACAGTTGTATGCAAAAATCATTAAATATGAGTTGGAATAGGTCCCCAGCAATCTCTGCTGGTCGTAAGAGACACCTAAAAGGATCGGATGGTCAGGCATAGTGACTTGGTTGATTGTGTGTAACCGTACCCCGACGGCGTGGACAGTTCGTTGCTCACAATATCAATCACCGGAATATCTGGTCTGGACTCGATTAATGACAGGCCACCGTCATATGGCTTGAATCCCATTGTTATTGTGCTTCTTTAAGAAAATCACGGGTCATAATAAATAACAAAAACTCATTATCACTCAAAAATCCGTAGCCCCGTTGTGAGGCCCAAACTAGACTAGCGAAGTCACCTATCTGGAATCGTGACTCAAAGGGTTTTCTTGTGACGCCTTATCGAAAACGACTGCACTGTATTCAGGCTAATTCTCCGATTCTGAACAGAACGCCTTTTACCATGTCGAGGTTAGGTAACCAGAAACCGTGACTTCTATTCCACACGTTGGCTCGGGTATATTTTATTTCTAACTTCAATACATACCTTCAAAACAGAATTATCCTGTCATGACTAACGCCTGTCTTACAACATGAAATGTTGACTCGGAATGTATTTGCATAACTCTGTGAGGAACCTGTGTCAAACTCTGTTGAATTGTGTTGAATATTGCCTCGAACAGGCACAGATAGTACCTCCTTCACCTATATATCAGTGAGGAACGTATATGTCACCCAGTATGACTTTGTTGTAAAACGCGTGATTTACTCAAGTTCCTTTTAAGATTACGTCATAAAGAAACTTGGAATAGGTGATTTCTAGCCCTGGGTTTTATGACATTAGCGTTTTGTGATCGAGGTTAACATTAACTAACCTAAAAGCTATTATATGCCATGCTTGTGTCAAGGTCACTTTGATGGTCATACATGTATTAAACCTGCAAATGTTTCCCTCAAGAACTCTAAGTATGATACAGAGAGCTCACCTCAGTTTGCAGCACGAAGGTGTAAACAGAAAGACCAAGGTATCATATTTCTCTCCATCCTTGCATGCTTACAAGTCTAATTGGATATAATTCATGTGAAAACGATGGACATTAGCCAAATGTATTGTCAAAGTTTCATGAAGAAATAATGAAAGGTTCAGCATTGTAGCTCACCTGGATATGTAGTAGTAATAATACTTCAACAAAAAGTTTCATTTTAAGGTGGTATATATATTTCAACTCCAAAGAGACCCGTGAGGATCCGGGGTAGAATAGGGCTGTAAAAGCGACTCTGCTTGTCGTGTTGATGCATGCCATTGATCCCAAAATGCGTGGATCGATGCTTATGATGTCAATCACTGGATTGTCTGGTCCAGACTCGATTATTTACAGACCGCCGTCATATAGCTGGAATATTGCTGAGAGCGGTATTAAACAACAAACAAGTAAACACATCATCTCCAAAGTGTTGTTGGTTTTAAACAGTTTTAGCTGTACATATATGACTGCATCTTAATATACTTACACGCGGAAATATCTCAACAGCCGAAAACAAAATTATTTGTGTGACAACATATGTATGATCTTAAAAAATATGGGTATGTATACGTTTATATTCCCTTCAAAAGACAGGGGGTCATGAAATATAAATGTAAATACCAAATACTACAACAAAGATAAGTGTTGATGACACACATTTGAAAGAATATTTATATTATGGAAAACATAACGCTAAAACGAATCTGACAGTTTGCATGTGCGGAGGGTGTCATTAGTGATTTTGTCACTTTCAAGGAAGATCGATTCGAATGTGTAGACCATTCTATATTTCAGATTCTACTTGTCATACAGTTGTGAATAACTTTAATTCATTCATTCATTGTTTCTGTATACACGAGTGATGCAGCTTCAGCCACGACGGAACGTGAACAGGCTATTGACCTGCGGGAAATTGGTCAGCATGCAGTGGACAATACAATCCGTTCCACGTTTCATAACCTGTGATTAGTAGACTAAAAACCAGGCACCGACAAACCCAAAATGTTGACGTACGACCAAGTTCAGGTCAACGACAAGAGTACACGATTGATTGATCCGAAACCAGGCTGTACGAAATCGTCGCTGCTCAAGTGTCATTTTTTTCAGGTTAACCCGATTCCTTTTCCTTTTCCGTGATAGGCGTGGTCGTGCCTGACAATGTCGAAATGAACGTAAAGCCAATATCAACCTGAGACCCCATGACAGATTTGGCGGTAAATCGGTTATGGTGTGGAGTGCCATCACTATGACTGACAGTCATACAACTATCATTTGAAGCTAATATATCTTAAACATTTAAAGTCATTTCCGAATATCCCTACTTTTGTTATAATGTATACTCACACGCAAAAGAAACGCAAGTGGTTTTAAGGAAATATGTAACAAACACGGAACTATAAATTGATACGTGTTTTAGCATGTAGTGAAGCCTGATGGTGTTATCAATATTTTTGGTTGTATTTTGGAAGCCCCGAGTAAAAACGCAACATAAAAAACGAATCGCCAAAACGCACCATTTCAATGAATATGTGGGTATCATGCACCCATTATACTCGCGAAATCGAAAATGCACGAACTGTCACGAACTGTAGTGGGTATAAAACTGTGGCCGATTCTTGATCAACAATGCCACGCCTAACTCAAATTCAGAGAAACCAGGCTATCGGACGTTTGGAAGCTGGAGAGTCTGTCAAAGATGTTGCCCGTCATTTCAACGTTAACATAACCACAATTTACAGTGTCCTGCATCGATACAATGCTACGCTGAGCACAGATGACCTTCCTCGGAGCGGTCGTCCTAGGGTCACCACACCTCGACAAGATCGGCAGATTACCCGTCAACACCAGCGACATCCGTTCCTAACTGCAAGCGAAAGTGCTCGACAGACCATAGGAACACATAATCGACACATTTAGCCGGGACACTGTGATCCGACGTCTCCGTTCCAACAATCTCAGATGTCGCCGATCAGCACCTCGTCCTGTTCTCTAACCACGGCATCGACAAGCACGACTTCAGTGAGCACAGGGTCATCACAATTGGCGTGGAGGCGTGTCATCATCTCTGATGAAAGTCGCTTTTGTGTCTCCCATGCAGACGGAAGAGTCAGAATTTGGCGGCGTCGAGGTGATCGTTTCGCTGACAGAAACGTTGTGGAAAGGAATCCATGGGGTGGACCCAGCGTCATGATATGGGCAGGGATTGGACTTAATGCGAGACTTGGACCCATGTGCTTTCTGAATGTTGGTCAAGGTCGGGGACACGGGGTCACTGCTCAGCGGTATATCGACCAAGTGATCAGACCCCACGTTGTTCCATTTTTTGCACAACATCAACAACACATTTTCCAGCAAGACAACGCTCGTCCCCATGTTGCCAGAACTACCATGACCTTTCTGCAACAACACAACATCCGTGTTCTACCGTGGCCAGCCCTCAGCCCTGATCTGAACCCCATCGAACACTTGTGGGATGAGGTTGAAAGGCGTCTGCACAACGTGCGCCCAGTCCCTGCAACTGCCGATGAACTACGCACAGCTGCTCCTGATGTGTGCAGGAGGATCCCTAGGGCCTTCACTAATCGTCTGATCCACTCAATGTACAGGAGATGTGTGGCAGTGATGCATGCTAATGGTGGTCACACCAGGTATTGACTGACATTTTTGGTATTGACCCGAAACTGTGTAAGCCCTTAACATTAGCCCAAACAATTATGTCATCTGCCCTTTAATCCATTAAACTGTCTTCAGTCAAATTTTTGTCAATCTTGCCCTATCAGTATTTCTTGTCTTTACTGTTGAAAATAAATAACATGTATACTGCATACTCGACTTGCGTTTCTTGTGCGTGTGAGTATATATGTCAAAGGCAACCTGAAACCGTTAATACGTACCATTACGAAGCGACTTTATCTGATTCATAAATTTCAATATACTTTCTTTTACTATAATACCTTAAACTAACCTATACTACAAACTGAAAGTCGGAAGTCAGTGTACTGTATTATTTATGTTATATAGAATGAGCGGTGAACGCCAGCTTCACTGGTCAATTAATATGTCGACATGATACATTATCTGTTCAGCATGTGTTTGCGATCATTAGATCTGTTTTTAGTACTCACTGTCATCTGTGAAAAACGGCCATGTAAACAGGATATTATAGTGTATCATTTAGGAGATGAGCCTTCTGATTTTTTTATAAATTTGTGTAATTCGTGAACTGAAGTTAATTCAACTGTAGCATGAGAGGTACAGTATATATATATATATAATATTATATGTACAAAGTATATACATTATAAACATTGATGTGGTGCTCTTTTTTTTAATTAAGTTTAACTGATAAGAGTTCCGCAATTTTCACATAATTATGATTTCAACTTAATTCAATTCGGTTTATTCCGTAAGTGTAGGCCGTCGGCCCGTAGTTATATTT